ACTGAAGAAAATACTTCCTTAAAAATTAGAATAGAGCAATTGGAAGACAGTGACTTTATGAGAAATCAAGACACTGTAAAACAAATCCAAAAGAATGAAAAATTAGAAAACAATGTGAAATATCTCATTGGAAAAACAACTGACCTGGAAAATAGATCCAGGAGAGAGAATTTAAAAATTATTGGACTATCTGAAAGCCATGATCAAAAAAAGAGCCTAGACATCATCTTTCAAGAAATTATCAAGGAAAACTGCCCTGATATATTAGAACCAGAGGGCAAAATAGAAATTGAAAGAATCCACAGATCTCCTCCTGAAAGAGATCCCCAAAGGAAAACTCCTAGGAATATTGTAGCCAAATTCCAGAGTTCCCAGGTCAAGGAGAAAATATTACAAGCTGCCAGATGGAAACAATTCAAGTACTGTGGAAACACAATCAGGATAACACAAGATTTAGCAGCTTCTACATTAAAGGACACGGGCATGGAATATAATATTCCGGAGGGCAAAGGAGATAGGATTACAACCAAGAATCACCTACCCAGCAAAACTGAGTATAATCCTTCAGGGGAAAAAATGGTCATTCAGTGAAATAGAGGACTTTCAAGCATTCCTGATGAAAAGACCAGAGCTAAACAGAAAATTTGACTTTCAAATACAGGACTCCAGTGGAACATGAAGAGGTAAACAGGAAAGAGAAATCATAAGAGACTTATTAAGATTGAACTGTTTACATTCCTGCATGGAAAGATGATATTTGTAACTCATGAGAACTTTGTCAGTATTAGGGTAGTTGAAGGAAAAAAATTGTATGTATGTATAGATAGATAGATAGAGGGCACAGGGTGAGTTGAAGATTAAGGGAGAATAAAATTCAGGGATGAGAGAGGATGATACTCGGAGAAGAAAGGGAGAGGTAGAATGGGGTAAATTATCTCACAAAAAAAAAGAAAAGAAAAGTCTCTCACAGTGGAGGGGAAACAGGGGAAGGTGAGAGGGAATGAGGGAATCTTATTCTCATAGGATTTGGCTTAAGGAGAGAATAACATACACATTCAATTGGGTATGGAAATCTGTCTTACCCTACAGGAAAATAGGGGGAGAAGGGGACAAGAGAGCAGGGGGATGATAGAGAGGAGGGCAGATTGGGAAAGAGGGTAATCAGAAGCAAATACTTCTGAGGAGGGACAGGGTCAAAAGAAAGAATAGAATAAATGGGAGGGCAGGATAGGATTAAGGGAAATAGAGTTAGTTTTTCACAACATGTCTACTATGGAAGTGTTTTGCATAACTGCACATGTACAACCTATATTGAGTTGCTTGCCTTTTCAATGAGGGTGGGTGGGGGGGAGAGGGAGGGAGAAAATTTGGAACTCAAAGTTTTAAAAACACATGTTTTTAAAAAAAAGTTTTCACATGCAACTGGGAAATAAGAAATACAGGAAATGGGGTACAGAAGTCTATCCTGCTCTACAGGAAAATAGAAGGGGAAGGGGATAAGAGAAGGGAGGGGGGAGATAGAAGAGAAGGCAGACCAGGGGAAGGGGTATTCAGAATGCATGCCATCTTGGGGTGGGGGGGGGTGGAGTTTAATCAAAAACTTGTGGAAGTGAATATTGAAAACTAAAAATAAATAAATTTATATTAAATATATATCTATATATAAATTAAATAAATAAATAAGAACTTTAAAAAATAAATAAAATAAAATTTGTTTTAGCATCTAGTATAGTGCCCTACACACAGCAAGTGCCAGATAAATGTTGTTGCTACCTTTTCTTTAGCCTTGATGCCTGGTTTCTTTTCATTCCCAGACTTGTGTTGATTTCCAATGCATTGAGATGGATAGGGGAAGAGAAAGAGGGAAACAATGATAGGGACTGAGAAATAGAGCAGACAGACAGTAAGACAGTAAGACACAGACAAGGTGGCAAGATAGACAGCAGGACAGAAGACAGAAACAAAGAGAGTTAGAGACAAAGGCAAAGGCCTTCAGTGAGTGAGGGAGCTGGGAGAATAAAGGGCAGACTACAGTTATCCCTCCCACATCATGACTTTCCCCATCACGGTTTTGATATTTCGGATCAGTATAAGAAATTAAATGGGAATTTTGGGGGGAGTTTTACAGAAGCCACAGAGGATACACAAAGGCCAGCAAACAACACAGAAAAAGGTTAGAAACTCAGAAATGCATAAAATATATGTACAGTATTGTATAATAACCCAAATTTTACAATAAACACCAGACAAAAGAAAAAGAAAAAATTTAGACTTCTCCATTATCGAGGGCCAAAAAATTTTACGCAGATTTTCCAAATCGCGATGGGCGATGTGCCCCTAACCCCTTGTGAACTGTATGTTCCCGTGGTACGTCTCTTCAACTAATTAATGGGGGACCTGGTGACTGAGATAGAGGAAGCTCCTTCTAAATATAACATCCCTCTGCCCTGCACGCATGCACATACACACACACACACAGCAATGGTCAGAAGCTATCCAACTGTCATTGAGGACCACAAATACCAGGGCCCCCATAAAATCATAGGATGTCAGACAAGCAACCAATCTTATTTGACAGTTAAGGAAGTTGACTTAGATAGGCGCCCCAAACCACAACCCTGGGTCCCTGATGCTATAGGTATCAATGCTGCTAAAAGGATAAGAGGTGAAGGGAGTTTCACCTGGTTGGATCCATAATTAGCCTTCCCCTCTAGGGATAACAGAATCTTCCTTAGAAGACTCAGCTCTGGGCAACAGGTTAGGAGCTGCCTTTTGTTCTCCACCCTCTTTCTGGGGGGAAGAAAAATGCTTAGGGAAATGTTGAAGGTTGGGATGATTGGAGGAAGGCTGTGACGCAATGAGGCATAAACTCTGGCTGGGATGGGATCTAGGGGTTGGGGTGGGGTCAGGGGAATGGCAGAAAAGACCCTGCCCTGATAGCCTGCTTTCAGGCTGGCAGGTATGGTGGAGGGGTGGGAGGGGAAGCCTCTGGGAACTCAGACCCTCAATCTGGGGAGCTGAAGGGTAGGAAAGCAGGAAGTGGGATTATAGTTGGTAACACTATTTGCTATTATTATGACTGTTGCCAATAAGTAATTGGTGGTATAGAGCAGCTAGGTGGTGCAGTGGATAGAATGGAATCAGGAAAACTCATCTTCATGAGTTCAGATCTGACCTCAGACACTTACAAGTAGGGTTACTACTTGCCTCAGTTTATTCACCTGTACATAAAATGAGCTAGAGAAGAAAATGGCAAACCACTCCAGTATCTTTGCCAAGAAAACTCCAAATGAGGTCATGAAGAGTAGGACAACAGTTGTTGCTAAAAACAAACAAAAAACACCTCAATATCTCCCTATAATAATAATAATAATTCATATTTGCATAATCCTTTAAGGTTTGTTAAGTGTTTTCTTTGACTCTTACACACCCTGCAAATTGCCCAAGGGCCAGCATCTAGTAGATAAAGAGAAGTAGCTTGGGATCGTGGAAAGAATGCTGGACCTGTAGTGGAGAGAAGAGGGTTTAAATTCCACCTTGGATACTTTGTTGCTGTGTGACCATCTGCAAATCACTCAACCCCTGCTTATCCCAGTTTTCTCATTTGTAGAAAAGATAATACTCACACTACCTCCCTCAGGGGACTGATGAAAAAGTGCTTTGAAAAACTTGGAATACCATAAAAATGTGAGTTATTTTTACTTGTGGAATAAAACGGGTTTAGATTTCATTGCACTGTGGTGGAAGAGATTTAGGTGAGAGTTGAGGAAGAATACCCAGGGAGGGGGGGCCCACAATGGGGTGTTGGAGGAGAGCACCAGGATAGCTGGAACAGGCTCTGTGGTTCCAGGAGTCTCAGATTTTGAAGCCGAGGGGAGGGTGGGGGAGAAGTCTGACCTGTCCTTGTGTTGAAGGTACCTCATCTCTTACTGTTCACACCCAGTTCCCTCCCCATCCAACCTGCTCCTGCTTGCTTTTTCCACCCCACCCAGGCCTGAGAGGCTGTCACCAACTCCAATTTTGAGCAGCAGGAGAAAGTCTTATTCTAGTTACCTAGAATTGGGAGAGGGTGGGGGGCAGGCAGGGGGAAGAGGGGGAGAGGTGGAGAAGAGAGAGTATGAAGAGAATGATTCTGTCCAAAGCATTTCACCAATTTGGATGGTTTCCTTCTGTGAATTTGAATTCTTCCTGTACTTTGGAAGAAGGAGGGAAGAAAGGAAGGAAAGAAGGAAGGAAGGATGAGAAAGAGGAAGGAAGAAGAAAGGAAGAAAGCAAGAAGGAAAGAAGGAAGGAAGGGGGGAGGAAGAAAAAAGAAAGGAAGGGAAAGGGGGAGGAAAAAAGGAAGAAAGAAGGAAGAAAGGGAGGGAGGAAGGAAAGAAAGAAAGAAGAAGAAGGAAGGAAGGAAGGAAGGAAAGAAGGAAGGGAGAGAAGGAGGGAGGGAAGAAGGAAGGATAAAAGAAGGAAGGAAAGGAGGGCAGAAGGAAAGAAGGAAGAAAGGGAGGGAGGAAGGAAGAGAAGAGGGGAGGAAGGGAGAGGAGGAAAACAACAGGGTATACAGTACACAGTAGAAAGACCATAGAATTGGGAATCAGAGGACAAGAGTTCAAATTCCACCTCAGATGCTACTTGGGAATATAATCTTGGGTAAATTGCTTAAGTTTCCCTAGGCCTGGTTCCTCATCTGTAAATGAAGGGGTAACCATCAATGGCTTCTGAGGTCCCTTCCACCTTAAATTTATGATCCTTGTATAGTTAACTTGCACCCCTAATGTGCCCTCTTATCTTCTTGAATCATTTTCCCCAGGGCATGGGGTGATGATTCAGAGAGAGAAAGTTGTAAAATGGTTGCTGATAATGCTAGCCCACAAGCACATACTTGCAATGGGAAAGAAGTCCATCAGTAGTGTAAAAGGGAGGAGGGGTCATAATCTGCACACTGTGACATCCAGGGTTGGCATTTTCTTTTCCTTCCCAGTGACCTCAGATTTGGGTTTCTGGGCTTCCTTGAAGCAGAGGGGCTATGGCTATAGCCACTGCTCTTTCCAGAGCTATGAGTGCCCACTGAGTGAGGTGATCATAAAGTAGCACTGTGGGAGAGAACCTGATCTTGCCGCAAATGAAGATAGCAGCTATAAGGTGACCATATCCTATGTGTCCAAACTGACAGGTAGTGTGAATACCACTGGAACTGGTAGCTGGGAGAGAGAAACTGACTTTGATCACTGCCTACCCTATAAATCCTTGTTTATAGTACAAAATTCTAGAAATTAGAGGCAGATGCAATGGATAGAGACCTGGACCTGGAGTCAGGAAGACCCAAGTTCAAGTCTGTCTTCAGACACTAACTAGATATATGACCCTGGGCAAGTCACTTGCCCTTTTTATGCCTCAGTTTACTCATATGTAAAATGGAGATAAAAATAGCACCCTTCATGCCTCCCAGGATTGTTGAGGGGGGCAAATGAGATACTATTTGTAAACCACTTTGCAAACCTTAAGTGCTATATAAATGCTAGTTGTTAGTATTATGAAATGGTGGTACAAATACCTCCTTCCCTTACTGGTTTTCACAAGGTGAGTTGGTTGGGAATCGTACCACCACCACACCTGAAGATCTAGAAGGTCAATCAGGAGGAGATTTAGAACCTAGCCAAAGGTGGATATCTCCAGATAGGAATGCTTGTAACCCTTTCTGTTTAATTCTATGAATAATAAACTCTGTGATCCCAGTATGTTAAGTCTCTGTATTGGGGAGCAAGGTGGTCAAGAATTGAGAGAGGGGAGCACGGGTGGAGTGAGACCACTACAGACCACACACACACATATATAAAACAGTAGACAATTTTATTAATTAATTTTGGATATTTATTTTATTTATTAATTTATTAATTAATCTGACACACACACCCCTTTTTTTTTAACAGATGAGGACACTAAAGTAGCACAACTTGCCCACTAAATAGAAGCATTCTCCCTATCCCAAACTGGTGTTTTTGTATAACACTCTGTTTGCCTTATCTACTTCAACCTTTCATTTTACAAAGGAGGAAAGTGAAATTCCCAGAACGTTAGACAGCCCCCTAATTCTTCTAAGGCTAAAACTGCTTAATCCAAAACTAAAACGCAAACAATTTTAGATTATCCAGGCCATGGCTCCCCTTCCTCTAGGAAGATAATTGGGAGGGACTATAAGCCTGAGCTGGGCCCAGAATTAGATTAAATTTCAGAAGTTTGTGGGGGGAAAGTGAACCAAACTTCTTAGTCCTGCTGCTGAAGCCATAGGATTGCCAATGGCAGGGGGGAGCACCATTACCAGCCATAGGCTGAGTGTCCTCTGATGGCCAGCACAGATGCTACAGCTTTTTAAGAAGGCTGCTTGTGCCAGAACCGGAGGTTGTTGGTGTTGTTTGTCCTTCTTTCTCGAAGAGGCCCATGACATCAGGGAGGTGATGCCATGACATGCAAGTGAATTGGATTTAAGTGAGGGAGGGCTATGCAAAGTCACCAGCCTCACTTTCTCCTCCAGAGCCAGATGGGTCCAGTGGCCAGATATAGATCAGGACCATCGGAGATGGCCCCAGATGCAGCAGGATACCTTAGCCTTTTTAAACCAGCACCAGAGAGAAACTAACTAATGGCTACTGGATTGGTGGCTCAAGTAGAGCACTACCTGCTAAGCAACTCAGTTATTGCACTCTCTTGCTGGATAAATATTACAGTGGCATTCTGTCTTCCTGTAAGCTTAAGGAAGGCAGCAGTAGAGTGACATGAATAAATTTGGACTCCTTACACAAGTTTATCAAAAGAAAGAATTAAATCTCTTTCTGTGTTGTTGTTCTTACTTGGCAATGATATTGGAGTGGTTTGCCATTTCCTTCTCTAGCTCATTTTACAGATGAGGAAACTGAGGCAAACAGGGGAAAGTGATTTACACAGGGTCATGAAGATTGTAAATGTCTGAGGCTGGATTCGAACTCAGATTCTTCCTCACTCCAGGCCCAGCCCTTTATCCATTGAGCCACCTTAAAATGACTATTGTAAGCTTAAGGAAGGCGGCAGTAGAGTAACATGAGTAGATTTGTACTGCTTACACAAGTTTATCGAAAGAAAGAATTAGATCTCCTCCTATAGGAAGTTCTAAATATAAATTCACCCTCCCCTACCATCCTAGTCCAAATTAGACCATTCTTTTACTCAGTGTATCCTCAGAGCATGCTACTGTTTTTCCTGCTGCCTGCCTGTGCCTTCTACCTTCTGTCTAAAAATGAATCCTTCCAATGGGAGTCTAGTTTGAATCTTGCCCATATTGAAAATGGCGGCCCCACAGTCATCATTTCATATCCCAAAGCACATTAATTCCTCAATTTCTCTGGAGGGGACAGATGGGACCCAAGAGCCCCTCTTTTTAAGACAGAAGACCACCTCAACGCCCGTTCTAGTGCTGTTTATGTCTTAATCTCCTCTCTGCAGTAAATCTCCCTGCAACATTTTCATTGACGTCAACCCTCAATTTCCTCATCTATAAGATAGGGGTTTCAAGGGTTAAACTAGATGATCCATAAGCTTCTTTCCAGCCTTAAATCCTATATGTTAACTTACTCCATTTAATTACCTGTGTTGTTAACAAGCACCTAGTGTCAGTTTATTCTCCTTATTCATACACGCTACAGCTCAGAACACTTACTGCCCTTCCCAGCCCTTAGGAGAGGGGTGAGCCAGTCAGATAGCAAACTCAGAGGTGAGAGAGAAAAAAGCCTGGCCATTCTTCTGCTCCAGTGACTGCTTCACTTGGTCCAAGAGGTGCTGGCCTCATAGGTCTTCCTCTGTGACATCATCATAGACTATTACTGGTAGCATGGATCATAGAGATCATTAAAATGCCAACTCCTTAACAGGAATCATTTCACTTTTGTTTTTGTATCCCAGGCACCCAGTCCAGTGTCAGGCAAATACTGATGACAGGGTCTAGAGGTGGAAGAACTCAGAGGTCATTTAATCTGACCCCCCCCTTTTTTTTTTTAACAGATGAGGACACTAAAGTAGTACAACTTGCCCACTAAATAGAAGCATTCTCCCTAACTCCCAAACTGGTGTTTTTGTATAACACTCTGTTTGCCTTATGTACTCCAACCTTTCATTTTACAAAGGAAGAAAGTGAAATTCCCAGAATGTTAGACAGCCGCCTAATTCTTCTAAAGCTAAAACTGCTTGATCCAAAACTAAAATGCAAACAATTTTAGATTATCCAGGCCATGGCTCCCCTTCCTCTAGGAAGATAATTGGGAGGGACTATAAGCCTGAACTGGGCCCATAATGAAACCTCTCCCATCCCAGAGGGCTAGAATAGGCGCTGATACATACTAATCTACGTACTCTCTGTCCAGTCTATTTGCAGCTCGGAAAGCACAAACATTCTGAGAGATGTCCATCTACACAGGTGGGAGCCAGGGAAAGGATAAGACCACCTCTGGATGGCCCCACCCTCCAGCAAAGGTAAATGAGTCCCTAACCTGTCTTAGTCCTTAATCTGTTCCTGGCGTGAAGGACACGTTGTGTGAATAGTAGACTTCTCATCCTCCCCAGGTTACTCTCCTCTCACCCTAAAACTGGGGATCCCATAGGATGAGGTTACCCTGACACCCAGCTCTGGGACATCTTTGGGAAGGGGGATTTGAAGGAGGTGAAAGGTCCAAGGAGGTTATTTGTGATACTATGATAATGACCTGGGAACCTGAACCGTGTTTGAGGTGAATCATTCATTTCTGGGGGCTGGTTCCTCCCTCAGCGTCCCATACTGAGGCTAATTGGCCAGTCATACCCACTCCTCTTCCTCCTGCCATCCCTCCCTATTCCCTTTCCTGGAGCCTTCCCCTGCCTCCGCTTTCCCAAGGTCAAACCCATATCAATGTATAGACTCACCATCGCAACCCTCCCTGCCTCACAGAGACAGGGAACCCCTAAACCCCACTTCCACAGCCTAAGGTTATTCACATGTATAAATGTTGCATCTACATCAGTCATTTTTATCATCATGTTTCCTGGAGTGGAAGGTGAAGCTAGAGATTTGGGGGGTGTGACCAATTTGCGGGGAGAAACCTGACTCACCTTTCCAAAATCCTAAGATTTTCTGAGCCAGCAGAAATCCAAGAAACCAAACTAAGAATTTGACAGCTCTGGGCTCCAAACAACAACGCCCTTCAAAGTCACAATATAAGCTTCCTTTTTTGCCTCCACCCTCCCCTCCCACCACAGTTGTCCAGACCTCTCTGGTGCCTGGATTAGGAGTAGCCATACACTCTCTTTGCCTGGAAATCAGGCTAAAGGACCACCCAGCATCCCACTGCACTCCCCACTATCTAACCTCAACCCCTAGAGGCTCAGACTCTCCCTTGTTCTCTCTCTGTTGGTCCAAGCCAGGGGTGGGGAACCTGCAGCCCCGAGGCCCCATGCGAGGTTGCAGGCTCCCCACCCCTGGTCCAAGCTGATCCACGGTAGAGCCAAACCAGAGTATGTTCTAGGGATAGGTAAAACCAGGAGCCACCTTCATGCTCTGTACTCAAGTCCTTCTCTGACACCTGTATGAGGCATGACGGTGACTTCTGGGTTCTGGAAGGCTCTGCCAGTGGAACACAAGCTCTGGCAGGTCCTACCAAGATGAAAAGGCTTCAAGTGCAGACCTGGTGATAGATTGTAATATGCTTGTTGTCAGAGATCAGAATAACTAACTGAAAAAAAAGCTGGCCCCAGCAACTCACAGAAGCCATCTACTTAGCACAGAAGGGCTAGGATTTTTGTCAATGGAAGGTATGCCTACAAGGATGAAATAAGAGATTTCAAGCAAATATTGAAGTAAATGTGAGATTAATTCCTGCCTCCACACTGTTGGCTTCCTCTTTCTTCCCCTTTTTCCATATCTTTCTCATTTTTCAAAGCCCAGCTGAAGTCCAATCCAAACTCCAGAAGCCTTCTCTAATGAGTCCAACCCCCATTACTCTTCCTTTCTCTGAACTCCTCCAGAACTTAGATTAGAGTCTGGGCCAAGAACTTTAGTGTTTGCTCATAGATCATCTTATATTCTCATCAGTCAACTTTGCTCCTTCTTTTCTTTTCTTTTCTTTTTTTTTTTTTATGAGGCAATCAATGTTAAGTGACTTGCCCAGGGTTACACAGCTATTAAGTGTCTGAGGCCAGATTTGAACTTGGGTCCTCCTGACTCCAGGGCTGGTGCTCTATCCACTGTGCCATCTACCTGCCCCATGTGACCTTTCTTGAGCTCTGTCACCTAGTTCCTAGAAGGCTAAGTTCCCTTAGGGTTGAGAATCAAGTAATCAGGCCACACAGTTCTCTCTCCCCTGAGAGGGTTAATCCCTGTCCCCTCATGTAGTGGAAGCCCCTGAGAGTTTGAAGCATGAAACAGGGCTAGTGACATTCTCTTTGTGAGGGGAGGTATAGTGGTGACTCTGTCCCTGGTTAGGCCTAGGTGACTGGCTCTCATGGCTGTGTCCTCCCTTCTTGAAGGCAAGTCAAGACAAGCAGGATGATGGCACAGGAAGCTTGGTGCCTGGGGTGGGAGCAGGCAGACAGGCTGGGGAATGTAAGGTAAAGGCCTGAGAAGGCTAGCTCTGCCTGGCTGGTTGACTTTAACACCTCCTCTAGGAACTACAAAGACTTGTATTTTGCCAGGGGGAAGGAGAAGTTGCCGGGTAGAGGACAGGAAAGATGGAGGGGGCAGGGAAGCAGCCCTAGCTGAGGTCACTTATAGCCTGTAACACAAGGCACCTTCATGACAGGCAGAGGAATTTACTTTAGATTAAAGAAGGAAGGTATGTGGTATACTCAGACAGGAAGACTTTGGTGTCTCCATCCATGAAAATCCAAGACACAATTATTAGAAATTATTAGAAACAGTAACTTTGATTTCCAATTAACTCATGTCTTCAGTGGAGAGTGCATCAGTTCATTCATGAAAAAATGCTCTGTAGCACTCCTGTGGAAATATTGGGAGAATCGGCTTCTTCAGAGAATATCGTGATTGCTGTTGACTTCTATTGTTGCAGCAACTATATTCTGGGGGTTCTGACCTATCTCATTATTGTTACTTCTGCCATCTGTGCTCTCCCACCTAGGGACTAGTCATGGCTGCAATTTTCCCTCATCACTATTCCTTTTCAAGAATCCCCAGCCTTCAAAACTACCCATTCTAGAAGCCTGAATACCTGATTAGAGTATGTGTTGGGGGACCTTACCACACTGCCAAGTCCATGCAAAGGCTTTTGGGTATAGTTCTTCCAATGAGCAAGATTTCTTGGCCCCAAGCACTGGGTCAAATGCTTCTGCCTAGAGGTCCATCCAAAGAGACACATCTCCATGTATGTGATTGTAGGTGACTGTGCCAGTGTTCATGCGTCTGATAGTGTATCTGTGACCATTCACTATGTGTGAATATGGGTGTGATCTGTGTGTATATAGTGTGTGTGTGTGTGTGTGTGTGTGTATTTATGGAGCATCTGAGTATGATTGAGTGTGTGTCTGTATATATTATTATCTTTGTGACCTTTTGTGCTTAAGTGGAATTGTGTCTCTTTACCTGGGTATAAATGTATATGTTTGTCATCACAGGTGACTGTCAATGATTGTGTCTTTGTGTGAAAATCTCCCCTCCCTTAATCCTTCCTTTAAGATTTCCCAGCATATAGTGTTGTAAGGGATACATCTCCACACCCATCCACGGTCCATTATCCCTGTCAAGAAACAGACACATGCCTATGGCATTTAACTCTTTGCTGTCTTTGCATGTCTTTATGCTGTTTAATTGTTTGGGTTGGTCTATGTACTCCCAGCTTTTGATGCCAATGTTTTTTACTGTCTGACTCTTGTGTATTTGTAGCTAAGGAATGGTTAGCCAAAACCCTGGATAATTTTTTGAAAGAAGAATTTTGTTTGGCTTGAAGAAGTATACCAGAATCTCTTCCTCTCTTCTTTCCTCTTTCCCTCCCTCTCTCCCTTCCTTCTTTCTTCCCTCCCTCCTCTCCTTCCTTTCTTCCTCCTTCACTCCCTTCTTCTCGTCCTCCCTCCCTTCCTCCCTTCCTCTCCCTCGCTCTCTCTCTCTCTCAAATAGTTAACAAGCATTTGTTAATCTAATACCCTTTTCAAGCTACTCTTCCCAACCTATACTCAAAGTTTGGGGTGCCAAGAGTGGTAGCTCACGGTTCTATGGATAACTCTGTGGAATGAGTTTATGGTATTATTGCTTATGAGTTCCCACCAGTGTGTTCTCCATTAATAATTAGCCAGCCAGACAGTTATCTTTTACAAAAGGTATTTACTAAGCAGTAAGAGCAATTGGTACAAAATATTACCTCCAAACCAGGGATAGATGGGCTCTCCCTTTACATGCATAAGGAACCCAGGGGGAGTGGGTCCAACCTCAAGTACAAAGGCAGTGAGACAAATGTGGCAAAGGGACGTACCTCCCACTCCTGGCTCTGGAAGTCCTTTTTTCCCCCTTTTTGGAATACTCCTGAATTTCCCAATGAGGCACAGTGTCAGGATGTATGAGTCACTTCACTGGGCCAGGCATCTCTGTTTGATGATTCCAAGGCCATTCAGCCCTGGTTGCTTCTGGGACCCCTGGACTACTTGAACCCCTGAGGTCACTACCTGAATATGTCCACCTTGGAATACTGGTTCACCTAAGGTCAGCAGAGAACCAACTCCAGAGACCTAAGTAACTACATCCTCACATCTGCCGTAGCTGGGCAGGAGATGGGTCAGCTGCCCTTCTGTCCCCTCCCCCACCTTATTTCTAATTCCTTGGAGTAGCAAAGCAAAGAAAATGAGAGTAATGAAGCAACTAGCAAGACCCTTTTGTAGACCCACTCAGTTTCAATTCAGCAAACCCTGAGTCATCAGTCCTTCTGGCTCCACAGCCAGTTAGACAATTTGTCATCGTCACGTAACACTGACCCCTGAGTTAACCACATATTCACTTAGGCTGAACCAGGTAATAATATCTTCAAATGCTTTAAGGACTAGTAGACCTCACAGTCCAGCCAACCTAATCATTAAGTACCTAACATCAGGCGTTGTGCTGGGTACCAGGGAAACAAAAATGAAAAATGAAATAATTCCTGCTCTGGAACTTACTTTCTACTGGAAAAGACAATATGTACATGTATGTATATGTATATGTATGTGTTATATATAGGATTATGTTTATGCATATATACTTGACTACGTTACCTACAGACATCCACTTCTACCATCCTGATCTCCTTGGTGACTGTTGCGGTCTAGGGATGCTGAGAACCCCAGAATTCAAGGGCAAAAGGCATGGGTTCTGCCTCCAAAGAATTCGACTCAAGCCTTCTTTCAGTCAGAGACAAGGTTTATTGTTTCACCAGTAGAAGCAGGGAAGACTTTTAAAAACCAGCACTATTTGTAATGACAAGTGGGCCAGACCCTTAAGAAATCTGAGCAGTTTAGTAGATGAG